GTAGTAGCGGAGTATAGGGGCGGAAGTAAACATCTGTTTCAACGTCTAGAACGCCGCCTCCCCGGCCTCCGTCTACTAGAATTCGCCTTTCTTTAGGAGGTCAGTTATCGGGGCTATTACCTTCGCGTACCCGGCTATAAAGCGGCGGTAGAAGTTAGCGAACCTAAGGAATAACTACAGTTCCCTTAGGTTAGTCGGCGAGGGCTACTCGGTAATAGTAGCGACCTTCTCGGGGTCGGTATATACGCCCTTACAGTTTACTCGGAATCTAAGGAATACTACCTCGCTTTGCGTAAAGGCGTACTTCTTTAGGTTAACGAACAATTCCGCCTGTTCTAGCCTAGCGAGTACCTAGCGAACCGCCTCCTAGTGCTTTTCGATATTATCGTAGTAGGTATAGATAAGGATGTTATCTAGGTATACTACTAGGATGTTATCGAGTAGCCCGGCGAGGGCCCGGTTAACGTACGCCTAGAATATAGCCGGGGCGTTAGTCAGCCCGAAGGGTATTACCTTATACTCGAAGTGCCTGTATTACGTTCTAAAAGCAGTCTTCTATTTATCGCCTTCGCGGATACGGATTCGGTAGTACGCGTTCTTAAGATCTAGAGAGGTAAAGTACTTAGCGCTAGTAAGGCGTATAAGGCTTTCGTCGATAAGGGGAAGCGGGTATCGGTCCTTAATAGTAATCAAATTTAAGGCGTAGTAGTCGACGTATAATCGTAAGGTCCCGTCCTTCTTTAGTACGAACAGTAGCGGAGCCCCGGCGGGGCTAGTACTATATACAATCCGTCCCTACTCTAACTCCTTATAGAGGTATTCCTAGAGGACTTCTAGCTCCTACTAGGAGAGATAGTAGAGGGATCCGAAGGGCGGTTCCTTACTATCTATTAGTTCGATAGTATAGTCGGTTGCCTTATAGGCCGGAAGGATCGCTACGGAGTCGTTATCGAATATATAGCGATATCCTTCTAATGCAGCGGGGAGGGAGACTTGTTTTGCCTTGCCTTAGTTAATCGCGTAAATCTAGAAGGTCGAGCCCTAACCTCTCCGGAGGTTCGCTAGGCGTAACTACTCTACTATATAGATAGAGGAGGAGTCTTCCTTCGATTCGCGCTTCAACCTCTTTAGGGAGACCCTCTCGAAGCTAGAGATTATAAGTCCCTATCGCTATATACCGGGACCGTTCTAGATATCGATACCTAGGGTCTTCAAGGAATGCCGGCTAAGGAGGATAGAAGGTCCGTCCTAGTCGACACCGTAGGCGAGAATCTTCGTAGTTCGGGTGTCTATACTAGAGTTGCTAAGTTTCAACTAGAACTCGTAGGCGCCGTAGCAGTAGGTTTCGTAGGTCGATAGCTATCTAAGTAACGGGAGTTAGGCCTCGATTCGGGGTAGGCCTATTTCTACCGCTACCTTCTAGCTAATCGTAGTTACCTAGGCGTACGTGTCGAGGGCGACCTGTATAGGTTTTATACCTTCGCTAGTAATAACAGTTCCTACTATTTCGACAATGTCCCTAGATTTAATAGGTCGGGGCCCTGTCGCGTCCTAAGTATTCGCGACGAGCCTAATTAGTTTTTTAGCTAGACGGGGGTCCGGTTAGGATTACCGCGCTTTAACGGGCAGTCTAGGCGGATATAACCTATCTTACTACACTCGTAGCACTTTAGTCCTAAGTGATCCCCTTTGTCTAGGGCGGCTTTCGCAGCCGCGCCCGATTTCGGGGCTTTAGCCGCGTTAGTACGCGGTTCCCTAGCGTCTCTCCGGCGATCTCGATCTTTGGATTTTGGCTTATTGCTACTAGTCCGCCCTTTACTGCCTTAGGTCCTCGGGTAGTTCTTCTCGATCTAGGTCGCTAGGTTAACTAACTCGTCCCGTATTTTAGGGATAGAATTGTAATCGACGATCCGTCGGCGGGTCTCCGGGTATAACCGGGCGAAGAACTAGTATAGCTATTGCTCTAGAGTATACCGTTCTAGCTATACCTCGAGGGTCTCTAGATATATTAGGAACTCTCTTAGAGACTAGTTAGTATATTGTTTAGCAGACGCGTAGTCTAGGTAAGCCTAAAGCAGTCGAGCGTTAGAATCGTCTAGAAGGTTAAGTAGGAACTACTTAAAGTTATCCTAAGTCGTATCCTCCCGCTCGGCCTCGGTTATCCGCTACTAGTATATATACTAGCGGTCCCTCGGGGTATACCCCTTAGAGAGGTACTGTATTACCTAGGTATACTTCTCGGCTTCCTATTAGAAGGATCGTAGATTCTAGAGGAATACGACTTCGTACGATATTACGAAGTCGCTATGTTCTTTTAAGGACCTCCCCTCGTATTCGCTAGAGGCTTTTACCGAGCGTTTAGGAGGAGGGGCAATATCGGTTTCTATAGTATACTACTTATAACCGCGGCTACTCTAAAGGTCGGCTACTTCTTGGATTAGTAGTAGACGTTCCTTTTCCGCCTGTAGGCGGGCGATGTCTTTCTAAAGGTCGCTTAGCTCCTTACGTTCGACGATGATTTCCGGCTCGGAATCGTTCGCGTCTTCTAGCTAGATACTAGCGAGAGCTTCTATAGATTCCTCCTAGTCGAGCAGTTCCTAAACTCGTCCTACTTCGACATCCGTAGAGGAAGATTGTTTAGTAGAGGCCTGTTCTAGTATAGAGGAGTTCCCCGGCGAGTCGCTAGGGTTCTATCTAGTAGAACGTCCTCCTGCTATTGTTCGGACCTTTCCCTTATAGTTAAGGTACGAGAGTTATTATATAATAGTTCTATAAGCGTAAGGGTATACGCGATAGAGGTCCTAGGTATAAAAGGTATAAACAATATACGGCTTGCTAACTAAGGTATAATAACTCTGCCCTTCCTTCCTAGAGAAGGGCCCTCGCTATATATACAAGCTATTCTATTGTCTACTCCTCGCTACCGGTACCGCCTCCTCTTAGGCAGCAGCCGATAACCGGTTCCCTTAGGAACCCTCTTAATTCAGAACGTCTCCGATCGGTAGGGCATCCCTTCTATACCGGATCGCCGGGGGTCCGCGAGGGCTTCCCGTCCCGCGCGGCACGCCCCGCCCGCCTCGCCGGGGGTTCGCTAGGGCTTCTCTGCCCTAGCGTATTACAACTGCCCTAGGGGACATCCGAGAACTTCTTGATCAAGTAGCGCTAGTTATATAGTCCCGTCCCTAGCGGTATTACCGCCTCCCGTCGAAGAAATAGTTCCTTCTATTTAGTAACGGTACCGATATTAGAGGACGTACTCTTCGAGATATCTACGGCGACGTCGATAGGCCGGATCTTCTACGCTTTCCGTTTATATATAGTATATACTAGGATATAGTACGTAGTACGGGCGCGGCGGGAGTAGGCCTAGTTAATATAGGAGTAATATAGTATCGACCGGAACGCCTAATTATCCTCGTCCGGATCCCTATCGACGATATACGTAGTATATATTCCTACCTTTTAACCCCCCTGTTTACTACGAGGGGCGATATTAGCCTAAACCTGAATTATAGAAGACCCGGGCTATACTGTACCGGTTAGGCCCCGGGGGCCCGACCAAATGTTAGTAAGTACTAAAGACAAACCCGACGTAGACGCTATTATAGCTTCGACGCTACTACTAATTTTCCCCGCCCGCCGAAGGTAACAAACCGTTAGTAGCCTATATCGCCGACGGTACCGGTAAACGTTACCGAATAACCTGCTAGGTCGGAGATTGTACCTTCCTAGAACCTATCGTTATAGTTTTTCGTAACTAACCTCGTCTTCCTCGTCTACGGGCGGCCTAGAATAAGAGGCACAGTATACGCCGTATTCGTAACAAACGCCGTTACCGCAACGGTAACGCTATATACCGAGATAGGCAGTCTCTAATAGACGCCGACAATCCTAGTTAACCCGTTCGCCGTAGATATATTAATCTTATCCAGCTAGTACATTATTAGTAAACCGTACTTCTAAACGATACTCTGCCGAAGGATAACTAACTTAGTACCCTTATTAACTAGTCCCTTATAGACCTTGCCTATATTACTCCCGAACATTACTAGGACCTAGATACTAGGTACTATAGTATAGTCCTACGTTACCGCCGATAGGTTAATATCTTTAGCCCTTTCGTAGAGCTGCTCCGGTCGACGGGGGCGTAGGCGGGAAACTATAGCCTTATAGTCGCTATACTACCTAGTAGCTCGGATTATCTAAACGAATATCCGGTTAGGAACCCTTTTGTAGAGGTACTTCGATCGACGGGAGCGCGGGCGGGAAACTATAGCCTTATAGTCGCTATACTGCCTAGTAGCTCGGAATATCTAAACGAATATCTAGTTAGGAACCCGAGCCGGGCGACGGACATCCTCCTCCCCTACGCGAACAATCGACGTCTCGGCAACAACAACTTAGGTAGGAGGGCTCGTCTCGGTCCCTCGACTTATAATACGCTTAACAGCCTCCTAAGTAGTAGGGTCGTTAGCAAATCTCGTAAACAAACCCTTAGTAAATAGGTTACCTATCCGAAGTGCCTCTCTAACCGTTATCGCCGGTAGTATAGCATTCGTAAGTAGACTAAAGACGAAATCTTCAGAGGACGAAAAGGATAGGATAATACCCTCCCTAGGCTCGTTGTCCTAAATTAGTTTATCTAGGCGACGTATCGCAGGCTTTTTCTTTGTCTTCGTCGGCGGGTTTACCGGGGCTAGCTCGGTAGCGTAATCCTAGCTCCGTCTAAGTATAGCTTCCTTATCCTCCCGGTCGACTATTTCTACCTTATACCCGCTATCGTAGTCGTTATCCGTATCCAGATCCCGAGACCTACTAGGCTACTACTAACTATAGGAAGAATCGACCTCTGTATCGCCCTCTCTAACTGTTTCGTCGTAGCGGTACCCTATTGCCCCTTAGCCTTAGCCTTAACTACCTTTGCTAAGTAGCTCTTCCCTAGGATAGTAGGTACAAGCCTCCTTACCTCCTTCTACTAAGAGTCCTCTCGCGATAGCTCCTTAGCCGGTCGCGTTATAGCCTAAACGAGGATAGTCTTGTCCTCTTTATCTATAATCTCTTCTACCCGTACTCGTTTATCCTTATACTCGGTAGCGTACCGGTCCTACGTAGTATAGCCTAAGAAGGCATAGGCCTAGACAGCCTATAGAGTAAGGAGAGCCTACGTAGCGACGGTAGGCAGGGCAACTACCGGAGGAATACTAAGTTAGTCCCGAGGACAGAATCTCTTTTTAGCGGTATTAATAGCTATACGAAGATAGGCCGGGAACTCAATCGGGTTACTATAGTTTATCTCCTATTCTAACTAAGGCAGGATCTAGGATAGGCGTAGGTACTGCGAGTCTTATCTATACTTAATCCCTCGCGGGGATAGAGATTAACCGGCTCGGCTAAAGAAGTAGTAATTCCTCTTATTCCGGTATATAAACCCCTACTAGGTAAGGTTACTTATAATTAGGCATTTATAGGCGAAGTAAGAGACGTTACTATATTAGAAACAACAATCCTTTAGTAGACTAGTAACCTATATTGCATCGATACGGATGCTCGCTAGTTCTATAGATAAATATAGGCTATTAGGATTCGACGGCCCGGGTATAGGTAGATACTACGTACTATAGGTACTAGATAGGGCTCTAGCCGAGTTAGTAGGTACGGACGTCGTAGAGTAGTAGGTAGTAGATCTATACCCGAGATTTTGGTTAGGCCCCGGAGGCCCGACTAAATCGGAGCCTAAGGCAACTATACTATAATAAGCCTAAACTACGCTAGACGGGTTTACTAAGTACGCGTTACTACTTCCTCTCCCTTAGAAGGCTTAGTAGAGGTCGAGTCGGAGGGTATCAAACTACTCGGCAAGGGCGTTAACTTTAGAGTTAAACTTGTCGTTCTTCGAGGCCGGAGCCGTAATCGACGGTATACCCTTAAAGGAAGTCGAACTAGCGCCGGCTAAGTTCTCCTATAACTTGCCGAGTCTAGCTACGGTAGTCGGATCCTTCGTATACCGCTAACCGTCTATTCCTTTAAGAAGCCTCTTCCTAGTAGCGAAAACCTTCTTAAAGTTGTTATACGTCTTGACTCTTTAGTAACTTAGGGTATAGACCGAACTCTCTCCGAAGGACTATCTCTACTTTATTAGGCAGGCCCTTTAGAAAGAGCTTAGTACGGTCAAAGTTAGAGAGCTCCGCCGTAGAGTAGCGTCTAATAGCGGCGGTAAATTGCTTTAGGAAATACAGGTTATTACTAGTCTCGTTGCGCGGGGTATTAATTTTAGGCCTCGTCATGGGTTGGGTTGGGTATGGGTTGGGTACAACCCAACTTAAATACCTAACCCTACAAATAAGCTAGGTACCCAGCTTATAAGCGGGGTACAACCCAACGGTAAAAACCCAGTGGGTATACCCAATAGGTATTGCAATGGGTATTACATAATACGAGTTGAATACCTACAAAATAGTAGAAAGAAATATTAATAAGGGATATATACCTACTACCTGATTCCTAGAGCGTAGAATTTGATAGGAATATATTCTATGTTTATTGCAGCTGCCGACCATATATGCCGACCATATATACTAATCAAAAAGGGATTACCAGAATAATAAGGGAAGCTCTAACCAATTGATTATAGTTATGAGCTACTATATACTAAGGATAGAAACTACCTTAGTTCTTAGTAAGTAGCTAAGCATCTAGAGCAGCTTGCTCCTTTGCTTGCTGCTTCAAGGCCTCTACCTCAGCGTCTTGTATCTTTTGATAAGCGCAAAGTTGATCCTCGAAATTCAGCCGCTGCTAACGATGAAACTGACGCGCAATTTTCTTTGCGTCTCCCTCGAGAGTTTCCTGAGCAAGGCGTAAGCTATCTTCTGAACGCTCTTTCGCAACAGTAAGCGCGTAAGCTGCCGCTACCAGCTCATTAGCATAGGCTTCTAGCCTCTGCTTAAGAGTTTGCTCATCATCGCTAGAATCATCATCTAGCTCTTCTTGATCATAACTAGCTTGAAAGTCTCGACCTTGGACATCTTGATCTCGGACATCTTGATCTTGCTCATCTTGTTCCTGCTTATCTTCATCCTGCTTATCATCGTCCTGCTTATTATCTAGGAGTAGCGGAGTATTATCCTGAGCTATTAAATTAGTATATTATAATTAATGATAAAAGAGTAACTTACTAAGAGTTGCCTGCTGAGCAGTGGTATCCTCGCCATTATTGTTTTCTACAGTCGGATTCTGAGTAGCGTCTGGCATATCCTCGTCAGAATCGTCTTCAACGATTCGTCGAGGCTGCTTAGTTGGGAGAGGCTTGCATTTTGCGTAGCCTTTGCTTTCAGCGCCTTGGTAGCCTTGTTCTTCTTTGGCTCTGTGTAGATGAAATTGGGATTGACAGGACCAGATTGTAAGGGCAGACTACGAAATCGTC